CCCCCCCCCCCTCTCACCTCTCTTCTCTCTCTCTTCGAGCATGTATAAAAAAAATTTACGGAGTTCATTGAGCATGTCTAAAATTTTCAAATATCTGATTTAAAACTACTTAAGCTTCCGACCCAAAATCCAACTCCTTTCTTGTCTTCATAGTTTCATTAACTTACGCCACAGTGTTTCTGTTGAAGGATTTAAAGTTTGCTTGGTCACCATTTGTTACGTAGACTACCGAATTATTGGTTTGGTAGCTGTCCTTCCGCAAATTTTCAATATGCAAATGGGAAAATTCTAAAAAGAAAAAATAAGCAGAAAAAGGTCGGCTGAGGGAATTTATGATTGGAGGAGGGTAGGTGTTCCATGGTAGAGAGAGAAGGAGGAAGGGGAAGATGGAAGGGGATGTGAAGAGGGAAGGGGGAATGGATTTCAAAGTGGGCGGGGTTGGTTGGAGCCATCAGTAGCGCACATGGGATGGGGGAAGGTGATATTTTTTTTTTCAATTTTAATTGTTTAAAAGATATACAATTGTTTTTATATTGATTTTTCCATTTTTTAAAATACCCTTGAAAATAGAAAGACTAAAATACCCTTAAAAATTGATGGAAAATTGGATAATGTTAAAGTCAGATGATAAATCATGAATTTAAAAAAATTAAGGTGACATTTCTACAAAAATCCCGAAAAAATATTGACACTCGTACAATCAACTATTTTAACACAAGACAACAATCTTATTTATGCACTGTACATACAAAATTCCAAATTAGTAAGATTCTGACTTCAAAACTAAATCCATAATGTGACAATGTGAACGTGAATAATGAATTACCTTATGCCTTTCCCCTGTGGAAGAATCAGAGGCTTCAAGGCTCTTGAGATTTCCCCTAACAACTGCTCACTTAGAATTTCAATCGATCTACAAGTGGCAGCTGACCTGTCATAAGTCAACAAAATCAGATGAGCATTATACCAATTTGATCAAATTTTGACTGCTATCTAACTATGAAGATGAAGTATTGAGACATGCATACACATACAAGTAAAAGTACAAGAAACATCGCAGCACATTTATTAATTTTATGTAGCGCAGGGATCAAATTGAAAAATTGGTTTTGAAAATCCTACTTAATTCTTAGAAGATCATCTTCTCTGTTTCTGAAGTTGCACAAACAGAAAATTTACCTTATAGACAGAACAGAAGGAGCCGAATTTTTCGACAAAAAAAGAAGAAGGAAAGAGCCGGATTTAGTAAAAGACCAGAGAGCAAGATATAAGCAGCTCAAATGACCAACACTCAGGGCTTGGATTGCTTGTACACTTTGCCTTTCTCTCCCTCCCTCTCTCTCTAAATAACAATATACATGTATATAATTATATCTGGTTGAGATTAAGAGAGGTGGACTCTCCTCCATAGTAGTCATTCCTATCCATATGCAGTACCTATTTCAGGTAAATACCATATTAACATCAGCTAGCAGCCTAAACATTCTTATCAATGAATGATCTAGCTAAAGCCAATTTTATTGTGATTGAAAAAGAAAAAAGTTCCATAAGCTTTACCTTGAGACCGTCCACTGAGAGGTGAGGAGGACGCTGAGAATGCATTCTTTGAGGCCCGTTCCGAGCACTATGACGTCGTATTCTTTA